GAATGTGTTGGGCTGAAGAAATGCCAAATGTACCACTGGGGTTTTTTATTATTTTGGGGAAAAGGGATTAAGAGACACTGAGGAAAGGAATCTGTGTTATGTAAGAGCCGTAAGTGAAGCTAAGTGTCACTGAAAGCAGATCTGAGAATCTGTAAGCACAAGTTGGCAAACATGACCTGAAGCTTTTAGTAGACTTTTGCTTGGCCAGTGTCTTTCCATGAACATCCTTGTATGGCAACAGTAATTTCATAGCACAAGTTTTCTGGTGTATGTCTGTTCGCTTCCATGTCAGCTGCAAGCAGAGATTGCACAAATCCACACTGGTGTCATAGTATGAGATTTAGTTCATGTTTTTCTTTGCAATGTGAATAGGAAACTCTAGTATTGGGCTGAGTTTTCAAAACTGGGAAGTGATTTGAGGGGCTTCAGTTTCAGGGAAGTGCTGAACCTCATCACTGTTAAAAATCAGGTTTCCTTGAATTCAAGTTCCATCTTTTCAAATGTAAAATATCAGTGAACCTTCCTTTAAAGAGCAGCTAATGGGGTCAAATGAACTGCTCTACATACAGTTTTAAAATGGTGATTTTTAAGCCTCTGACTTCTGCACCCACAAGTTTAGACATCAGGGCATAACTGATATTAAACCTGGGAATCGTTTAAAGCAAACAAGAAAAGCCTTGTCTCTACAGTGGCATTGTTTCCTACGAGATATTAAGGGAAATGGCTTTATTTAAGGAAGGACATTTCTGCCATTCATCATAGAAGAGTAAAGCAAAAGTTAATTTTTTTTTTATGTCACAGAAAAAAATACTTTTTCTATTTACATATCTAAACATTAAGAATGTTGCAAAGTGACAAATATCTTAAATTACTGTAAATCCATTTGCAAACTTTAATTTTCTCCAAAGTGCCATGATATTAACTGTTATCTTTCATTGTTAAGCATACAGCAACTGTCATAAATATTCAGAAGGGACATTGGGTGTAAACAGTCCAGTGCAGTAGGTTTTGTTTTTTGGAGAACGTGTCTGCATCAGAAGCATGATGTATTTATGTGGAGTAACCTCCTTTTTGTATACGAGTTAGATTCCTATGGGTGCTCTGCTAGTTAATATTGTCACTACTATTTTCCTGTTTCATATGGAATATGGTCTTGAGCATTGTTGTGTAATCATTCCCTTTATTTGTGCACACTTTTTACTTTAAATAAAACATTTATATTAGAGCTCGGTGTGTTAAAATCTCAGAAATACTGTGAAATGCTGGTCTTTTCTTGGTATCATTATATGACCCTTTTAAATTATCCATATCCCATGGGAGCCTTGTTCTAATCTTTTCATTTCTTGTAGAAAATTGCACTGGGATAGGCCACAGCAACCCAAGAAATGTCTTTCTCACCCTGCATTAACCAAACGTGTCTGAGAATGCAGGTTTTGCTCCAGCATCATTCCCCAGCCTCATCCTCATCTTGTCCCTTGGAAAAATATTGTTCTTGCAGGTTCTATCTTTCCTTCCGACACCAGTGATGAGACAAAAGCAGTGAGGCATCAGTCCTTTGCACAGAGACAGAAATCTTAAAAGAAAATACAAAATGCTACTTTAGCCTGCTCATCCAAAGGCCTCTTTCAGCTGGAACTCGTACAATGTCATGTCAGTCAGCAGAGCTGGGATTTGGAGTTCAGAGCAACGCTCTCGTCTGCTGCACTTACTTCTGCATGATTTATTTCTTTGTTTCTTCAACTCCTCCCATGTGTTCTCAGATTTCTGACATAGAGGGTGATGGCACTTAGCTCACGCTGCCACAGATGCAGTGGTTTAATTTCTATATTTCAGTATCTTTTAAAAGAGATTTTGTCTTGCCTGTTAGCAGGGGTGTCTGTCTGCAATCCTGGCGAGTGCTGCAGATGGCTGCATATCTTACATGCTTAACCTCCCCCCACGCACGCTCCCTGTTTCTGTTCAGTTGGGTGCCCAGCTGCTCTCGCCTCAGTCTGAGCAATTGTTTATGCTGAGGCTCTCTATGAAGGAAGCTAATAGCTTGGATAATCTATATATACATTTTTAACTGCTAAGCAAGCATCCTCACTTCAGCATGGATAGTGTAAGGCAACAGCAGAATTTGAAGCTGGGCACACAATAATGATGTTTTCCTGGGAAGAGAGAAGGTAGGGATTGGTGCCCCTTTGAGAGGGAGCAGATTTTACCATATCTTGCATTTTTTAAAAAAGGTTTATTTTAAGATTTTTTTTTTTACTGCCTCGAAGAATATGCACCACCACACTGCCTATGATAAAGGGATCAGGACTGCATACTTGAAAGGTGGACTCTTACCATTTAATTACCAATAAGTAAAGGCAGAGCAGCATCTACATCCCAGGTCTGTGCAGCTTTTGTGGGAGGTGGCTTTTTCAGCTTTCACAGCTTTTTCACAATCTCTTGTGTCCATATTTGACTTCTAAGGATGAGTAAAGTGTCTGGCCTTACATCCCTCTTACACCAGAGGAATAGTTTGAGCCCTTCAGGAGCTGAAGTGTTTTGTGCACTGTCCCTGCTGTCACTTACCCTGCAGGATGTGGTGTCTGGCAAAATCTGTCAACTTTTTGTGCTTAAAACACAACCTGTAATAGGGTATCTATTTTACAAGAGTGAAACTTCCTGTGACAGATTAGCTAACAATCTGAACTGTTACAACTTACTATTAAACATGACTACCAAAGTGATTTTTTTCTTTAAAAAGCACAGTATAATCTCATCAGAGAATAAAATGCAATGTCTTTGTTCACAGTTAAATGGTGCTCTCCAGGGCACAGTTCATAGTTAAATTGTGTATCTTCAGGGACTGTGTACTGGGGGAGTTGGTGAGCTTCCCCAGAGCCTCAGCACTTCTTGAAAATTCAGACACTTCATTAATCAAAGCAAGATTTCTCCTGTGCTATTAGTGCACTTCATTACCTCTTGCAAAGGTCTGTAACTCAGGTTTTATTTGTGCAGTGTCTTCAGAACTGCTTTTCACAGTCCACAGTAGAAGCTGTAGGCAGAGCTAACACCTTTTTATAGACAATCCTCTACCTACAAACTTTGTCTTCAATTGCCTGATTATTGTAGCTCTATAGCAACACTATCATTACAGCACAATAGTTACTGGAATTTGTAACCTGAAATGGAACATCTCTGCAGCAGAACCTGAAAAAAATCCCAACAAATCAAACAATGCCACTGAATCTAAGCTTCCATGACATCAGGAGGTCTAATAAAAGATAGAATATCTGCCTACATATGTTGCCTTCCTCACAGACATTGATCAGTCCAGCTCTGATGTTAGACATTACATTTTCTTCAGGAAATTCAAAGGGATTATGGCATAGTGCATTTCACTGATCGGTATTTGAAGAGCTTTTGGGTTTTTTTATCAGGTCCTAAAGTCCAAGAGGGTGAAGCAGACAGGAATGTCTAGAATGTCTAGACAATTCCCGCATAGGTCCATATCTTTCAGAATCAGCTCCAAACACTGGTGGATTCAGAAATCTTGTTTAATTCTGCTATATTGTTGTGGGCTTTAAGCAGATATCTGCTTAATAAATAAGTAGTGGGTGGTAGTATTCTTTGCAAATATGTTTGCTATTCTATAAAACCCTGATGGTTTGGTTTGGAAGAGGCCTTAAAGATCACTCAAATCCAAAGATATTGTAGACATTGTTGCAGATACCGCAACTGATGTGATGGTTTAAGTTAGAGTTAAAAGCCGACTCGTGGCTTTGCAGGGATGCTCAAGGGCCTCTCCATCAGTGAGCCCGGCCAGCCCAGAGGAAACCTGAGCATATCAAAGATGCGAAATCAAGGATTAAGGAGCACCTGATTATCAGCGAGGCAGGTTCTGTGGCTGTGCCATAATCCTCCTGGGACGGCATTAGGGAGCAGCGCGGAAGGGATCTGCCGGCTGCGGGCAGCGCTGACCGGTGCTAAGCGGTGCCTGGTGGTTTTACAACTGCCCCATTTTCATGTGCTGCGCTTTTGTACTCGCATCAAAATATGTAACTGTGTGGGATGAAAGGAAACAGCAAATTGGATTGCGCCGTAATCCCAGCTGAAGCGCTGTCTTCACAAAGATGTATACTGAAAAGCTTTGGGCTTCTTGCAGGCAGAAGAAACTTGTAATACATGAACGAGTTGTACAGCGACTAAGCAGTCCCTGAAGAGCATCTTCCCCGCCTCTCCGCGGTTTGATCATTTCGCTTCCCAAAACATCTGCGCTTCAGCATCTCCTGCGAGCCCGTGGTTGGAGGGAGGTGTCTGTGACCCTAATTCGGGGACAGGCACATCCCACGACCCGCCGTCCCCGCGTCTCCCCGTCCCCAGCAGTGGGGTGCCAGGGCACAGCCCACCCTTGTGGGGACCCTCGCGGGGGGACAGTCACTGTGAGACCCTTGCCGAGGGACGCTCTTTGAGGGACAGTCACTGAGAGACCTTTGAGGGAGCGTCGCTGCGGGACAGTTCACTGAGGGACAGTCACGGAGAGCCCCTCGCTGGCGGCCTCTCCCCGCCGCCGCCGTCGCGCCTCAGGGGAGAGACACGCCTGACAGCTCCCCGACAGCGCCTGGTCCTCCTCCCGCCTGGCTTTCCCCTTCTGCCATGGCCACTCTCCCTTCCCCCGCCCCAGCTGCCGCTCCGTCCCCGTCCCTCAGCCGGCCCCTCTCGGCTCCCGCTGACGGAGCGGCGGCAGGGCGGCGCGGGGCCGGGTCTGACCGGGCGGGCTGAGGAGAAGTCGGGCAGAAACGACACTTTTCCATGTATATTCACTTTCTAATATACATTATATACATTTATCTATTTATTTTATTTTTTATTTCTCTTCCTGCGCTTTCCCCGCGGGCGGCGGGGGTGGAGGCTGGGCCGGGT